TATTTAAATGGATTGGTTTGGATTGGTTCCATGATTTAAACGGATTGAATTGGTTCCAATTGGCGGATTTAGAGCCCCAGCGGATTGATCCTAGTTTTATCCCAATACGGATCATGCTCACCCCTATTTTAGAATATTATGTATATATTATTAATAAAAAAAAATTTAAATTAATTTAATAATTGTAATTTTTTATATTATATAATTTATTTATGAAAAAATAAATGATAAATATATATTTAAAATTTAATAATCTATTTATTTTTTGAATAAATTATAAATACACTCCTGACGTTTACTTAAAATATAGATTGTCTCATATATTTTGAAAATTACATGTCACTCTTTCAAGTTTTTAATCACAGAATAAATGACCATTTTTATTGATAAATCATCAAGTCAATTAATAATTTTTAATAATGTTACAAATATATTTCAATTAATGATTTAAATAATTTTATTGTTGTATATGAACTTAATTAGATTCTCTTAAATAAAAAATTAAAAAAAATATATTTGTAATTTTAAAAATTATAAGGACAAATTATATTTTAAATAAACTTAAGAAGTGTATTTATATTTTATCTTTTATTTTTAAAGATAAATAAGATAAAATTAAAAAAAAAATGAAAAAAGGAATAAATAATGTACTTTCCATAAATCAGCTCCACCACAAAATTGTGCAATTTGAGAAGCTAAAAAGTAAATAAAAAAACTAACTTTTAGCAACTTCCTAAAACACGTGTCTCAATTAATCAATCTCTCTCTCTCTCCAGTCTCTACACTCACTCCACATCCCAACCCCGTCTCTTCTCCAACCTTCATGCTAGGTTACCATCTACTCTTTAAACCCAGATTTTGTTGGATTGGGAGGGAGTGGGTTTGAATTTAATTGAAGTACCACATCTTCATAATGTTGGTGCCTGTGTCCTTGATTATCAGAAGACTTGGAGTTTTGTTAACTGAAGAAGCAAAATTCTTATACGGAGTAAGCGACCAAGTTGAACAAATCCGAGTCGAGTTAAACCGAATGCAATGCTTCTTACAAGACGCAGATTATGCAATACAATCAGATGAACATGTAGATGCCAGGGTCAACAACTGGGTTGCAGAAATCAGAAAACTTGCTTATGAAACCGAAGACATCCTCGAAACTTATGTCATCCAAGTTTCATCAAAAAGGAACAAAAAGGGTTTCCGAAATACCCTTAAAAGATTCGCTTGCATCTTCAATGAATGGATAGACGTTCACAGGGTCGGAAGTGAGATCGGTGCCATTAAAAATAAGATCACTGATCTCACCGCTAGTTTAGATACTTACGGCTTGAAAAGTATAGGTGAGCCAGTTCAAGTGTTGATTTTAAATTTAAATTTTTATATTGTTATAATTTTATTTGAAGTATATTTTTTTCTCTTTTGAGATGCAAAATTATTACTTTGAAATTTTAATTATGTTAATATATTCCATTACTCTTTCGTGTGACATAATCAATTTTAGAAAAGAATAATATTTTATATTTTAATTTTTCAGGGAAATATATGAGAAATTAAAAAGACATCTCTCTATAAATTTGTGTAAGAATTTAGGGATAACAACAATTTGTTTGGTAGTTAAAATTCTTGAGATTTAAAATTTTTAAATAATAATGACAACTTAAAAATATATAGTACAAAACGCCCTCATGATCTTAAAAATTCTAATTTTTCTCGCAACGTGGTTTCTTTCTCGTGTGACCTTTTACATCGTTCAAGTGATTTCAAAATTTTAAAATTTAATAACTTTTGATTTATATTTCAATTTTTTGTAAAATTTATATTTTTCGAAATTTTATTGACTTAGTTTGACTTGGTTATCGAAATTTTACTAACCAACCAAAATTTTATTGATCTGTCTCAGGTCAATAAAATTTTGTTAACTTTTATTTTTTCAAAATTTTATATTCATTATGGATTTTGTTTTATAGATCTTGATGAAACAATTCAAAAAATACAAAATTTTATAAATAGAAAAAAGATCTAGATCAAAAGTTATATAATTTTGAAACTTTTATGAGTTAAAAAGGTAATAGGTGATACCGGAAGCGGTATAGTGTGAATATTTTTGTCACTGTATATTTTGGAGGGCCTATATTATTATAAAAAAATTGTGTTGTCCTTGTCCTTCTAAAAAAATATTACTAGAAATCATAAACAAAAAATCCCGTAAATTTATAGAAACATATAAAAATAATATTTCACAATTTTAACCTCCACTTTTTTTAATATATATTTTATAAATGATGCATTATTATATGGTGAAAAATGATTCAAAAAATAGAATTTTTATATGCAAAATTCATACAAATTATGTGACTGTTATTTTTGGACCATAAAATTAGTATTGTTTTCCTCTTTAAAATGAAAGAATCACAAAAGAAAAAAGGAAAAAAATCATTTTATGTGAGTTTTTTATATGAAAATTATATTTGTACAACATTATTATTGAATATCAACCGTTAGAAAGACTAAACTAATACTGCTGTAGGTGAAGGCATAAGAAGTTCAGCAACTGAGAAGCAACAAGAATTGAGGCAATCGTATCAGCATGTTGTTGAAGAGGATTTTGTTGGGTTTGAGGAAGACTTGAACACGGTTGTGAAACATTTGGTGCAAGTTGATGACTATACTCCTAGTCGAGTTGTCTCTATTTGCGGCATGGGTGGTTTGGGGAAGACCACTCTAGCTAAAAAAGTATATCAAAACAAAGATGTCAAGAATCATTTTCATTGTTTGGCATGGGTATGCATATCTCAGCAATACCAAACAAGAGATATTTTGCAAAGAATCTTCATCAAACTTGTTCCAGGGAGTGAGAACGCGGTTGTCAAGATGAGAAATGAAGAGTTGTTTGAGCAACTTTATGAAGTCCAGCAGAGGAAAAAATGCTTAGTTGTACTGGATGATATTTGGTCAATAGAAGCTTGGAAGAGCTTGAAACCGGCCTTCCCAAATGGAAACACGGGCAGCAAAATATTGCTAACAACTCGTAATAAAACACTGCCTTCACAAATAGATCCATACCATATCTTCCATGAACCTCCGTGTTTAAATGACAAGGAAAGTTGGGATCTACTTCAAAAGAAATCATTACTAAGAAGAGATGGTAGAGGTAATATTAATCAGTCCAAATTACTATATATTTTGATACAAATTAAATTATTTCAATGTTAGTTTCATATCATTTGTGTGATCTATTATCATCTATAAAGATTAATGACTCATGGGCAGAGATTTGGGAAAGATGGACAATACTTTAGCTCTACTGGCCATAGGCCGTACCAAATGTATTTAGAATATTCATTTTACGAAAATTACATAAAATTGAAAACATTCAAGGAATTACTTTCTAGTGAGATAGAAAATAAAATTTTACACAAACATGTTTGTACTTTCGTACCTTTTCACTTGCATCTCATCACATAATCATTTGCACCCCTGAGAGGGTAATTTGTGAACAAATTGGGCCAAGGTAGGACGAGTCTTCTTTAGAAGTTGGACCGCACAATGAGCCAAGGAGATATTTTGTATTTCGGCTTTGGGCCGAGGTAGGTACCAGGGTGGTTGGATGTGTTATTGGAATTGGGACCTATCTACCTTTTGACCGAGATAATAGTAGGTCGATGGGCCGAGCTAGGTGTAGCTCAGCCGGACATCAACCTATAGCAGGGTCATTACGGCTCGCCCATGTTAAGTACAGAGCCAAAGTAACTTGGTTGGCCACAGTGTCAGCCGAAGTAAAGGGTTCAGCCATCTCACTTGGCTTGCAGTGATGAAGGTGTTTTAAGGATAAGCATTATCTTTGGGCATGAGACTCCTAGGAGGACTCTACTAAGGAGAGTTAGAGTCCTACTGGGATTGTGCAAACCATCTCACTTGGTTGGTAGTGAGTAGGGTGTTTTCAGGATTGGCAATATTCTTGGAATGTGATTCCTAGAAGGACTCTTCCTACTAGGATTTGTGTCAGGTGGGAATCTATAAAAGCTCATAACATGACTTATGGACAGGTATCACAATTTTTACTCTCAAATACACAGAGCTTTTGTGTCTATTGTCTATTTGCTGACTTAGGCATTAGAGGGATTTCTGGCACACACCCGCCGGCTAGCTCACGTTTGTGTTTTCAGGAAGTAAAGCGACGACGTTTAGAGGAGTGCAAACTTGATCAACAGGATTATACGAGAAGATTATTTCGTACTCGTACAACCCCTATATTTTTATAAGTTTTTTTTCTCTATTTCATTGTGTTGTAATTCCCCCAAGTTTCAATAGTTGGAATAGGGAAGGACTTATACAAAAAAAAATCAAATTAATCCGGCATTCAAAATCACATGATCCATAGTTGTTTTCTAAAAATATAGTATATTATCAAAATCATATATTTAAAAAAATAAATAAATATGATCTTATTATTATGTGGTTACAAATATATGATTAATTATGATTTTTTTCATAGTTCATTTATTTGATAAATCTTACAATAAAAATGATTCAAATAATCGAAATAGACCCAAATTATCCCACGCGAAGGGTTACAATAGCATTCCCAAGACACCAACAACAACTCAATGGTTATCAAACATATAGATACATAAAATTTATACAGATATATATAAGGTAAACTATCAATAGATCTTAATAGTTAGACTTAATTTCTATTAAGTTCAATTAAAAATAAGTTCTAGTAAAATTGTCGCTAAAAATATTTTTTTGTAACAATTTTTTTCATGTTGCTAAAAATTGACAATTATTGATTTTTTTTTTTGTCATGGTTTTTATAAATTATAGCTGAAACTTACAATTAATGACTTTTTCTGTGACGAATTTTTCAAACTGTCACTGAAAGTTAAAAATTAGTGACTTTTTTGTAACATTTTTTAAAACTGTCGCTAAAACTTATAACTAGTGATATTTTTTGTGACAAAATTTTCAAACCGTCACTGAAAATTAACACCTATTAGGACTTACACGTAAGTTCTCCATATATATATACAGATATATGATGTGACATATTTAAGTCTTCTTATTCTAAATCAAAAGATCTATTGGACGGGTCATACTATATGCAAGTTATGACATTTACAATTTTGATTATCAAAAATGTCATAACTAGATTATTTTCAATTATAATTAAAAAAATGAGTCATAACTAAACATCATAGAAGGTATCACTACAAGAAAAAACACTATTGGCGACTAAAAAATCACATTTCATCGCTGAAAGTATAGTATTTGGCGACTAAAAATGAATTAGTAGCCAAAAGTGGTGATTTTTGGCGACTAAAAAAATTTAGTAGCCAAAAGTATAGGTTTTGATGACTAAAAATCTATTTCGTCGCCGATATATGGCTTTTAGCGACTAAAAAAATTTTAGTAGCCAAAAGCATGGCCTTTTGGCGACTAAAATGAATTTAGTAGCCAAAAGTGAGGCATTCAACGACTAAAAATGTGTTTGGTCTCCAAAAGTGAGGCTTTTACTGACTGAAAAAATTTTAGTAGCCAAAAGTAAGGCCCTTTGGCGACTAAAAAAAAATTAGTAGCCAAAAGTGAAGTATTTGGCAACTAAAAACATGTTAAGTAGCCGAAAGTGAGGCTTTTTGGCGACTTAAAAGAAGTTTAGTCGCCAAAAGTGGTAATTTTAGCACGGAAATTTTTTTTAACGACTAAAAAATAATTAGTAGCCAAAAGTATAGAATTGGCGACTAAAATTATGTTTAGTCGCCAAAAGTGGTGTCCTTTTTTTTTCTACTAAATAATTTATTTTTACATAAATTATGTTCAATAAAAAAATAATTATGTTTATATTTATACTTTGATATTAATGCGGGTCTAAGTACTATATAAATAATATATGTTGCATATATAATCATATGATGTTATGGAGGCGTAGTAGAAGGAGTGTGTTATATAAGGTTGATGGTTTAAATCTCTACAAGAGCAAGGTGTAATTTTTTTTTTTCCGGAATGAGCTTTTGGCGATTAAATCTGTTTGGTCACCGATTCCTTGAGTATTGGCGACTAAAACATTAGTCGGTAAATGTATAATTTAAAAAAATATAATTGACTATAGTCGCCAAATGTATAATTTAAAAAATATAATTGACTATTGGCGACCAAAGTTTTGGTCGGTAAATACTTGCTTTTTGGCGACTAAAAGTTTTTTAGTCGCCAATACCTTTCTCGACAGTTTTCCAGCGACCACAACGGCGACTAAAAAATTTAGTCGGGGAAACTTAAAAATTGACTTTTGGCGACTAAAAATTTAGTCGCCAAATATGTTTTTTCTTGTAGTGTATAACTAAAGACATTTTAAATCATATCTAAAATAATGCCATAATCAACATCACAATAAATAATAAATAACACAACAATGAATTATAACCAAATCATAACTAACAATACAATAGCTTATAACTAAATATCACAAAAATTACAGACCTCGAAAGTAGAATTTCCACCCATTTGGGGTGGCCTTTATTTCAAAAATACAATACCATATTATTTTGATTAAAATTTTTGTAAATTAATGATAAAATAGCATTTCCATCCCCCAAAAAAATTGTGGTCCAAGCATTTCACTTAGAAGGAAAAGCTACTTCTTTTATGTAATTTATTAAACGACAAATTACCTACACCTCCCTTGAGGTTTAACGAAATTACAAATTTCCCCTTGAGATTTCAAAAATTACATCATGTCCCATCGCAATTAACGTCGTTAACAGATATCATAAATTAAGTAAAATGCCCTTTTGACAAATTAGGGCAAATTACCTACACCCCCTTGAGGTTTAGCTAAATTATCATTTTTAAATAAGTTATGAAATGCAAAATTAAAATAGAAAAACTCTTATCACACTACAAAAAATTAAGGTTTTAGAGGCCAAAATTTAGGGACAATTATTTTTAGGGGACCAAATATTTTTGTTGTGAAAAATGTCATTATATTTTTAGCAACGAAAATTGAACATTAGTGATTAATTATTATATTTTTGGTATCAAATTTTTTGTCTCAAAAAATAAACCATTTTGAGGACAAATTATTTTGTTCCTAAAAGTCTATTTATTATTAATATTTTCAAAATTTTATTGCTAAAAGCCTTATTTTTTACTTTTCAAGGTGACCTTTTAGCGATTATCATCACGACCATAGAAATTAGTCCCTAAATATCTTTTGCAACAAAATTTTCACTTTTAGAGATCAAAAAAATTGATCACTAAAACTCTTATATGTTGTAGTTTCAAATGGTGAAAATATCATAAAATTAACAAATAATGAAATAAGTTAAAAACGCAAGAAATGGTTTGTCAAAAAAAATCTTAAAATATGTTTGGTTTGATTTTTAGAATTTTTTTTAAATTACAAATTAATAAAGAAATAAAAAATAGTTATTATTTTTATATAATTTTATCTTTTGAGTGGTTAGAAATAATTTTTACAAATTAAATATATTTTTTCATATTTATTTTTATTAAATTAGTTTTTATTTTTTTTTTAAATTCTGAATTTTTTTTCTAAACAATAAATCAAACATGGTTCCAAAAACTTAATTTTCTTTCCCATCTAACGTAGTTCTTTTGTAAATTTTGTTGATTTATTAAAGGGATTTCAACGGGGGCAATATCATCCATCAATTTATATTTTGGTGATGTCAGCTAACCATTCTTAACGTTTAGTTAACGATAGGGGTTAAATTATTGTGCGAATATAAACCTCGAGGGGCAAGATGTAATTTCTGAAACTTCAAAGAGAATTTGTAATTTAGCTAAACTCAAGGGAGGTGTAGATAATTTGCCATTTATTAACCTAAAAGAACTGAACATAATTGGATGCTAAAAAATTTAGTGTTAATTATGATAACATCTCGTGAACTAGTATTGTATAATAATATCCTCTTAAACTAAAAAATTGTACAGTTAAATCTTTTAATTTTAAATATCATACAAATATCTCTGTTTAGAATTATTAGGTACTTTCAAAATATTATTATGTTATCTACATGATCTACTCACCGTCAATCAGAAACCGCAATAAAAACTGAATAGTCTTCATTTGTCTGTTAACTACCCCCACAAAGATTAGTTAATATATATTCCATTCATAAAAGTTATTGCTATGCAATTAATATGAAACACCATATTGATAAGAATAATACTATGTGTACCAATTAGTATACTAATTAATGTATTAACAGATAATGTGACATAATTTTAAAAGTTTTGAGTATTTGTAATTTAATTAATAGGTGAGGTCAGTAATAAT